AGATAAGGGTATCTGCAATCCTAAAATGCTATGGGAAGGGATGGAAGCATGCCCAAGACATAGGAAATTGTGAAAGAAGTAGTAAAGTCTAGCAGTACGGACAGTGGGGATGTTTGTTGCAATTAGATTAACGTATCTAAAATACTAAAATGCTATGGAAAGCGATGAATACAGGTCCACGACGTAAGTGGTGAAGGAAGTAGTAAAGGCTGGCAGTGCAGAGTGGGGGAACCGTTTGAGCAGATGGATAAGTGAATTTGTAATACTTAAATGCTATGAGAAAGGAAGGAAACAGGCCAATGACGTAGTAAATGGTGAAGGAAGTAGTAAGGCTAACAGCGCAGAGTGTGGGAACTGTCTTTGGCAATTACATTAATGTATCTGCAATCCTAAAATGCTATGGGAAGAGAGGGAAACAGGTCCACGACGTAGGGTGTGGTGAAGGAAGTAGTAAATGTGAGCAGTGTTGAGTTTGGGAATGGATTAATGTATCTGCAATGCTAAAATGCTACGGGAAGAAACTGTAGACTGTAATATGTTAAAAATGATTACGAAGCACAAATCGATACATATTTTCGATACATGCAATCGTTTACAATCGAAATTTACAACTGAGTTGACAACAGCTGATTTTTACTCCATAGAGGCTAAAAACGATTTTTACTCCCTAAATATTAAAAATGCTACTTTAGACCCGCAGCGCATGCACGAAAAAATACTGTTTTTACTGCAGTAAGACAAAAACAATATAATATGAACCCTTGATGACTCCGCTCAATTTTGTGGATGCCTCTGCGAACGCCACCTAGTATCATTTAACACAAACCAACATCTAAAACTATATACATTTTTAATCCAACATAGATAATTTACACATTGACTGTTTTCAATTAACATCAGCTGTCTGAAATTGTGAAATAGGCATTTGACAGTTCTGGTTGTTTACATTTAAATGTCAAAGCAAATGTAAACATTGTGAATTTCTCATGCTTCCATGGAGACCAATTATATTATTAATATTTAATTTCTGACAACAGCTGAAGTTTCAAAACAATATTTTTTCCCATGTTAATCTTATGGAGAAATACAAAACTTTAAAGGGCCCCAGGGCCTCACTCTCTAATTATTTACCTAAAAAGAAAGTTTCCTGCACAACTTCACGTTACGGTCTTTCCAATGACACCAAAAACATGTCAATCGGTTCAGTAGTTTTGGAGGAGTAATTGTCACAAAAATCCTGCTTGCGTATTAAATAAGTACTAGTGGTCGTCCAGTGGTCGAAACTCGACCAAAAATTAATGTACAGACTTCTCTATTTTCTCCCCACACTTTTTAAATAAGACATGTGATTGGAATTTCTCCCATTTGTTTTGATTTTCTGTTTACATTTTGTTGTTATTTCGTCACCACCATGGCAACCCATATGGTCCATGTTAATTTTTTGAAGTTTTCAAATTAATTTTTTGTGCTTATTTTTTAGCCTATTTTAATTTATAAAGGGATTCTGCACATCTACAGGTACATATCTTTCTAACAGTATGCGTAGATTTTTCCTGCGATGCACACGAGCTGAGAAAAAAGGTTTTAAAGAAACATGCTTGCCTATTAATATATAGATAGATAATAGATATAGATTAATTAAGGTATAATGAAGTTCAAATGTATTACAATAGTTTGATCTGTTACAACAGTTATTAAGATTTTTGTTTTTATACTAGTGCTGGATTCCCTGACATTAGTAAACGTGTTTTACTGTTCACAAACAAAACACTGCAACTGTTCGACATGACCAATCATGTTCGACAAATATATTCACTTGTTTATCCATTATTCATGGTGGAAAATAATCCCCATCAGCGCTGTCAGGTGCACTACCTTAGTTAAGATTTTTTAGCTTATAAACAGTTTTTGTTTAAAGCTTAATGTGTTTACTTTATTTTAAAAATATGATAAATTTTAAAATGTAAAGACGGTTTAGTGAAACAGTTAAATTTTTTATCATGTATTTTGGAATTATTGTGTTAGTAATATATAGTTGTGTGGTGTTAGTGGAACATGTAAATAGTTTTAAGGGCTAATAATTCAATTTTGATATTTTAGGATTGGATACAAAATGACCCTATTGATAATGTTGACGGTAAGCATACAGATTTTTTTTATACATCTTTTAGGAAATAGTTAACAAACTGGTAAAAATTTGCCTCCAAAAATATTACACCTTCAAAAAGGTGGAGGAAGTTGGAGCATGTTCACTAAACCAAACAATTCATCAAGTTGAGCATTATGATTGCTAATAACCGTTACATTAACAAAACCTTTCATGTAAAAAGTGAAATTTTAAAACTAACCAAAATCATTGACAGGCACAAAATCATATTTACACAAAATCGTTATATTTTCCAAAATAATAAGCAAATTTAATGAAAATCCAATGGACATTGCATACTTTTTCAAAGCACTTGCCAATTTAAGTTATTTATGGCCTAAAAAATGGCCTCTTGTGAAAAAAGTAGGCTATATTCTGTTTTCCTTTATTTCTGTACGATGATCGTTTTCTTGTATTACTTTTATAGTTATGTATATTAATATTTCATCTTGCTGTTTCCTCAATACCATTCATGTATTTAATTGATTAAGTAAATTAATAAAGCTGATAATTTTAAATTAAATCCTTGGTCTTAACACTATGTCCTGTCCTTTAGACCAGGTAAACTTTATTGTCCATGTTAATACTGGGAGACCAGGCAGAAAAGGGAAGATACCTATAAAAAGGTGGGAGAATTACAAGAGGGTGTTCTATATATTTTAGAAGTGAGATAGAAATTGAGGATGGAGAGCAGAAAGAAGAAGAGGAAGATAGGAAATTATAAGACAGGACTTGTAAGTGATAAATGAACATCAACCTACTGGATAACATATGATTGCAAAGGACAACTTCAATAAAAACATTTTATTTCAAAATAGAAGTACACAGATAATTAACTACAACTAACTTTTTTACAGTTAAATAGTACAAGGTGCTCAGTCTTGTAAAATGTATCAAACACAAACATAAAACAGAAAAAATGTTTTGTGTTTGCATGAAAAACTATAAAATATCCATAATCTCTACTTGTTTCAACATTGAATATTGAGGATTGCTTCAGGTTTAACTAAAATACAAATCTTCTCATAGAATTTAAATTATAAAAAATAGTACACAATTCCGATATTTTACTTAAATTTTTGTCCATGCAAAAAATAATATAACCCATATAAGTACTCAACACTTTCATTCCACAGATTCTTAGAGTACACAAATTAAAACACTAAATAATTGTTAGCCTATAAAGTAAAAACGTTTGTAAAGGGAAATTTAGGTACATCTGGCAGTGTTAGAATATTCAAGCATAAACAATTAAGTTCAGAATTAACTCTCCAAAAAGCAATTACTAACTGTACTAAAAAATACTACAAATGTACATTTGTATCCCTCAAGAAAAAAAAAAAATACTTGAACTAAAAACCAGACTAAAATGTTTCTATAAAATACCATTAAAATTAGCTTTTACTTTTTTAGAACCTGAAAACTAAACACAACTAATCAAGGAAAGTCCTAAAAAAAGGTTTCACAATTTTTGGATCCTCTTTCCACCATGCCATGAATTTTTACAACTATTTTTTTATAAATACAAAAAAAAGGATGATTTACCAAGCTATAATTTTTGCTACTAGCTAAAATTTGATCGATTATGATCTTACATTATATTTGAATTATTAAATGTAATCTCCTTGTTAATAGTTTAAATGGGAAAATAAATTCAAAGTAGCATAACACTTAGAATAAAACATAATAAGGCTTTAAAGTAAAATCGGTTGGGTTTATAATCCTTAAATTTAGGGGAATTTCAGATAGTATGTTATGTCTTTTCTATTTAATGGAACCAGCAATCTTAGTACGTTTTTTTGCTGATCTTAAATCAAGTTTGATGTTACATATAGCTAAAAGAGTACACATTATTGTATAAATTTCTGTTTTTATGATAGTTCATTAATTTTATGATATTGTCTATTACTACAAAACCTTGCTTGACTCTCACTGACCTTAAATCTAACAAGGTCAGAATATCTATTTTCAATTCGTTTGGATCCAGCCATGGAAATAGTGTTGATTTAATGTATTATTATTTTTAAGTGATTTTGAATTCCTTCAAATCCCATTGGAGGTTTAGACAACAAAGATAAACCATTAAGTTTGCATGCATCTATGACCAAACTGTGTCTAGAAAATTCTTTGGGAAAAGCTTAGTAACTTTATTACATAACAAAATGTTCAACAAATTCTGCGGTCTCTACAGATAGAACCACATAGAATCTCTGATTAGAGAAACCACGAAAGTAAACACAAGATCCCAACAAAACAAGGTCGGTTCATAAAATAAAAAAAAACAAGTTTCGTAAGAAAAATTACAGTACACTGTTTATACAATTTGTTTTACAAACATTAAAAAAATATATTTACACAAAGTCAAAAATTGATCACAGTAGTCATTTTATGCTTCATTTAACAGCCTAAAAAATTACAATTAAACATAAAATAGCACATAATACATCGCAAACTTACATTACAAGAAGACTAGTTAAACTATTCTATTTCAATCATTTACAATTTTCTTCTGAAAAAACTAACAAAGTGTCACAGTTTGGATCAGTTTGAAAAAAGGTTGTTTAGTTACAATATTTTGTCTACAACATGTCTTAGGATATGACATATATCAACGCTTGTATACAATACCAGAATCACTAGAAAAAATGCTCTTCATAACCACCTGAAGTCATGAAAAACATGTCTTGGTTTTTTTACATTCAATAGATTATTTTTTCTTAGTGTTAATTTAAATTTAAACGTTCACATGATTATACTTACAGACACAAATAAAAAAACAAGCTAAAACAAAGATACTATGGCTAACTTAAACTTGAAAAACATTTAATTCTAATAATATACATTCACTTTTACACTTTTGGACATTTAAACATTCGTAATAGATTTTTTAAATTTTTATAGTTACAAAAAATATACTTTTATCAAAATGAGTGATTGATGAATCACCTACACTACCTGAAAATTAAACCTCAATCTCTAAGTAGCGCTCTGGCTCTAGGTGTTAATTTCCTAACTCTTCCCCGGCTGCTAACACTGATAGCAGGTGTATTGTCACTATCTGAATTGTTAGAATCAGGTGTCAATTCACTGTCACTATTTCTTCTCACACTTTCCCGTTTTCGCAAATTTCTAGTTCTGGGGCCATTGTCACTGTCACGAGATCTTTTAGAACCACCGTTTCTCAGTCTGTTTGTGACTCTCTTACCCGAGCCCCACTCAATAGATTCCGAAGATCTGCGTCGTTTTCGTCCCCGGCAGTTAAACTTACTCGAGGGAGGGGGGGAGTAGGCTTCATCTTCGTTTACACTATCATCGACCACTACTTCATCTGAGTTTTCACTTTCACTTGAATTTTCAAAGTAAGTAGCAGAGCCATTCGCCACTCTTTGACTAGTTCTTCGTGTTTTCTTGTGAAAATCTTCATCACTTTCATCCGAGCTGTGTTCCGCTAGATTCTTCTTTGTTGTCTGTCGCAGCGGATACTTTCCTTTCACTTTGGTCCGAGAAGTTCTTGTCCTGAGGGAACCCGACCTATTTTGGTAATTACTATTTACACAATTCTCTTTTGAGTTTTCACTGTCTGTTTCTTTTGATAATCTTCTCTTGGGATAGAGCACTTTCACTGTCTTCCTCGTAGGTTTCTCCTCTTCCACTTCCTCTTCATCTGGTTTGAAACCATCACTTTCATTATCTGAACTTTCTTCACTCTCGCTGTCTTCATCCTCCACTTCACCGCCTTCTTCTTCATCTTCCATATTTTCATCGTCACTACCAACTGCACTGTTAGCGGTGGTGTTTTCGGTTCCTTCCTCATTCTCCGACTCAGAGTCTTGAATTTTCCTACTGTTGTTTGGTCGTTTACTGTTATGATTTAATATCTCTTCTTCTTCATCATCTTCACTTGAATCATTGTTTTTCTCCACATGAATCATCTTGGCACGTTTCACCACTATGCTGTCCACAGTTTTGCTCGTAGAAGGCATGCTCGGGTTGAATGCGTTACTCAGGTTCACGATTACATTGTTTGTTACTCTCATCCTCAGATCATTTTCCCTTTTATTAGAGCCATTTAATTTGGGTTGACGAGACACCACTTTCCGCTTTCTTGAAAACCCGTTGACAGCTAAAAAGAAAGATATTTGTGTAAATAAAAAAAAACATAGATATAATGACATTTTATCAGGAAATATGAACTGTTTAAGGTGTAAAAAATGAGAACAAAAATAATAACTCATGTTCAAATGTAAAATGCTAAATTAAATTCTGATGATATCCAGAACTCGTGATATACACCTGAAAAATGCCGGACTCGATCTCTGGACTATTGTGTGTGTGACTTACTGTATATGACAAGTCATGGATGTCACCGTGAGTGAAGCCGACAAAAATGTTTACAAATGTAGAAGATTATATTGATCTTATAAAGTTACCTGTGCCTCCTGCTTTGGGATGGTAGTCCACATCACTGTCATTGTTGCTTTCTTCATTATCACTGTTCTCCCTCAATCTTGAAGGCCTCTTGAGAACTAAAAAAAAAATGGTAAAATGTTTAACTATCGGTATCTATAGTTTTACACTGAAATAGAACTGCACAACCTTGCATATAACCATTACAGATTAAACACATATTGTCCTGTATATGGTTTTAGGTGCTATTGCTATTATATAGGCCTATTCATCCAAAAATAACATATTAATGATATTTAATCCTTAATTCGTATGATGATAGGGGTTCATATTGTAGAGAGATAGCAGTTGGCAATGTTATGTAGGTAGGCTAGAAGTACTGCATTGAGTAGGTCAGTTAGGATGTGTTACTGTAGGGACAGAAGAGTTCTATACGATGCCAAAACACATGAGTGTAGGATAAGAGTTGATTGAATGAGTTGATAGCTAGTTACTGACTGAAATCACGTGTTTCTAGGCCAGCAGAAAGATCAAGCACAATTAATTGGATCTAGTTTCTAAATGTTCTAAAAGCTAATGATATTTTATCGAACCAGATACCTTCTGCCTAGAAGGTGAACACTATATCTACTCTGCTACCTAGCTGTTTAGCCAGATATAAGGTAATAATATAGGCTTAATAAAGATTCCTAAACTGGGGATTTGAGGGTTGCATGCAAAGGCATACAAACATTTACACAATTACCACATTAATTAAAAACATTTCCAATACTAATGATTCATTTCTTTAAATCTCACCTGATTTGAATCTAGATGATGTGCCTTTTCTTGGACCTGAAACAAAAACAAATGTTACGAGAAGGTACATTGTGAATGCGTTGGTGTTTAAGACCCAGCAGGAGCAGGTGTTTTCTTTTTCAAAGCGTCTTTAACTAACTTGCTTCTGCCTACCGCACAGTTTCTGAGCCTGCAGCCTCCTTTCCACAAAAAAAATTTAACCCTCCGAGTGTTATGTGTCGTAAAAGCGACTCATAACACATCCGCTGTAGTGTTATGTGTACACAAACACTGTTTACGGCGACGGCACTGAGACTGACTGAATCGGATTGAACTGGATCGAGTTAGGTATCGTTTTTTTCAGCAGATTCAGAGCTTTCTCCTGATGTCTGTTTCTATACGCTTTTCTTATTAGTTCCGAAAATATTGTAGCAGACAGCTGACGTGCGTATTTGTTAGCAGCTTGCCTCGCACCGATGACTGATGTGTTTTATTACGCTTATCATTGTTTTAGTGTTAAAAATCAAAAGTAGTGATATACGTGGTGCATTATAAGAAGATTTAAGTGATTTTGAAGGGCTGGTTGATGATCCTGAAGAAGTAAGTAGTGATACTGATGTAAATTATCAGCTAGATTCCTAGCTATGGTTAGGCTATGCATTCTTAGCTAAACGCTATGTACCGAAATCTGTTTTTTGCCCATAACTTATTTATTTGCAAACCTACTTCCTTATATTATTATATTTTTGGAATCCTCATAAAATTCTGAACAAAGTGGCTATTTTTAAATATTTGTAGACCTATAAATTATAACAATTTATTGAGCGCAAACATAATTTTTTTTCATTTATTTTATAATTTTTGAGAAATGTTAACCCCACAAAAATTGTTGAACACTTTTTTTGTAATGTTTTATATGTTACATTACATTGAAGCCCATAATTTTCCAAACATAATGATATATAAAACAGTATACTTTACATTGTTTTTTAGTTTCTAAGATACATTTTAATTTTTAATAGAACCCTGCGATTGCGCAATAAATGGGCGAACATTAAGACCAAAACTAGAGACATTTGGAGGGTTAAGGCTTAGGTTTAGGACAATAATATGACCATTTGAAAGCTTACACAGTTAATCCAAGAAAGTTATAAATGCAGTAGAGTGGCTCTGTCTCATTGAGACTTACATTTGAGATTAAATATTTACCTTTTGTACTCGGAGGTTCGTACTCGCTCACTGAACCGTTGCCATCATCAGACATCAACAGTTTTCTTCTTCTTTGGCTTTTCTTCCCACCTTGAAACAGAAAAAAAACTTAATTTTTACTACAAACTTGGGTTTTTATGGTCTAGCTTAAGTTATAATTTTATATCTGAGACACAGTGAGACCCTGAAGATCAAGTTTCTAGGGTTAGTGTTAGTGAGCGTAAAAGTCTTAGTTGCTAATTTCATTTTTTTCAGTACATGTAAACTTAAGTTTATTTTAATGAAGAAGGTTATAAATTCCAAACAAGAAAGTTAAAAGTTAAAAGAATAAATCCAAACCTTAAACCAGTCATTGATAAATATTTTTATGAAATATTAAGCCTACTCTATAAATGGAGCCAACATTTGTAAGTTTTAAATTCCATTCAAATATGTTTCAGGCAAGTTTAGGGTTAATGCTAACAGTCCAAAGCTTACTAGATTAACCTAAGATAAAGTAATCTTTTCATTCAGTATTCGTTAACTTCTGAAAGTTGAATTAATTAAATACATAATATATACATTACTTAAAAAAACTTTTTATTCAATAGGAAAATAGTTATTTGTGCAACTAGTGAGAAAAGTGAGCAATTGACTCACTCGAGAGAAATCTTTACTCACGAGCCGTAGGCGAGTGAGGAATGGTTTCTCGAGTGAGGCAATTGTACTTTGAACTCGAGTTGCACATTATACTTTTCCTACAGTTACCATAAAACAAATAAATTGGTGAAGAAACATAACCTATTTTAACACAGAAGTGAGCTTTTAATATAACATTTAATGTGAAGTGACAAATACAACAGTACAACAGCTGACCAGCTGATTTACAGCCAGTGCTGCCAACGTATTTCGCGCGCATACGACGTTGCCTGCATGTTACGCGCTCACTATGTCGTGCTTTCACGTTGCAAATCTGGAGTGAGACAAAGTAATTAGAGTGAGACAATGTTAACATTGTCTCACTGATGAGCGAATTGGCCACTTTGCTTTCTCAAATCAGTGAGAGAACATGCACATTGTTAGGCAACTGTAGGAAAACTATATATTTATCAGCTCTTTTGTACAGTTGTAACTCGTAAGTAGGAATATTGTTGGGTATAAACATGTATTCCTTAAGTACCTCTTTTGTTTAAGTTGTTCCAGGTGTTTAATATTCTGTTCATATTTGTCTCAGCGAGTGCTGACAATCTCACAGCCATTGTGTATACCTGCAACAGTATAAAACACGACTTAAGAGGATGATATGAGTCGTACTCTTACATCAATATAAATAAATAAATTCAAAACAAATAACGAAAGATAAAAATATTGCCAGATGGGTAAATGTTATTTTATGACACAGATAACTAAGGTTGGTATTTTGGGGCGGAAATATACTCATGATGAGCAAGGAAGAGCGCAAACAGCAAGCACTGTGCGGAAATTCCTATTGCACAGGGCACAGGGCCTTCCTTCACCGCGAGTGTTGTAGTACATGAGGGCAAGGGGACTGTGGCAGGACTTTGCCCTAGACACCAGCACTAGTGCTTCTGTACCATGGACTGTATCCTCTATTTATTACTTCTCTGTGATTATGATTACAAACAAATGCATGCCTGCTTATAAAGCCAAACTGAAAAGACACCACTTGCTGAAAACTATAACATTGCTATACATAAAATATACCAAAAACTAAGGGGAAAATAAAATGTCCACCACAGCACACCTACTGCTCATTCCACTGTGTTCTATTTGAATGAAAATTGTCTACTTCTTTCTTTCCCATATGTCTACTTCACTATTCAAAACTCAATGCTAAAACTTCAACGACTGTTTACCCTTGATCGTTTGTCCGTGGTTTTCTTGGCATTGGCAAATATCCGACGCAGGTCATCACAAAAGTCCTCAGGGCTCTCGTAGTTATCTCCGCGTAGCTCCTCCCTCATAGTACCAAGGTCCATGGGGGTGTCCACTGTACGATAGTAGTCAGGGTGTTCCAGCCTGTCTAGAGGCTCCCTGTAATTACAAGAAGTGCTCATTCGGAAAATCCATCCCTCTTGAACGATGATAATACAAAACTAACTGAGCTGTTTAAAAACAGTTAATTCTGAAACATATACAGGTAAAGTATGTGCAAACGTGAAGTACAGAGCCATAAAAGCAAAATAAATGGAAAATAAGGGCTAAAGATCCCAGTATGTTTTAGTTCTAGAACACAAGAAACATATAATAGCAAATCCATGCTCATTTCATATGTCAAAATCAAATTTCTCTTGTAAATGAAATCCAGTTCCGAATCTACGCTATTTACATTCTACAGCCAAACAACACACACCTGAATGGTTCTGAGTCCCTACAGGCCCACAGCATCTCCAAGAACTCTCTGCACTCCCGCTTCCAGTCGAAGGGACCAGTCTGGCGCGAGGCCTCTCGTCGGGAAGCTCTCATCGCCCGCATGGACCTGGCGGCCGCTGCCTTCATCCTGTGTCGGCTGGTGGACGGGCCAGGCTCACCAACCTCCTCGGAGTCACTGGACCTGTAGCTCTCTAACAGTTGGCGGTAGAGTGACGACACGTCCACTGTGCAGGTCTCCCTGTAGGTAGATAATGGTTACTAGTTGAACATTTAGGTTTTATTTAGTCTATGATACAAAGATGCCTAGCTGTACCCTAGCTGAGTATTCTTAATAGCTATTGTAAAATAGCACACACAAAATTGAAATATTTCTTTCTTTAAGTCTCTCAAACGGATAATATGTAGCACTTGGTTGCGTACTTGACAATCTTGAGGCAGAGGTCGGTGACAATGCGAGCCTGTTTGACGATGTGGCTGTGGGCCTCGTTGAACTTCTCCGTGTTGGTGGCGAGGTAGCGAATGTCAAATTGTGCGGCCGCAATCCTACGGTAGAACCTGTGCTCAAACCTTGCCTGTAACACACAACAAAGTTTATATTAGTCAAACAAAATACATAAAAGAACATCTTTAAAATTACATCAAAAGTTTTGCCAACCTATTTAATCTTATACACCGCTAATTCAGCATTAATCCAAGAGCATTATTTCATTTTTTTGTTGAATTTGTGTTTTGCACTGATAAAGTCTTTGGTAAGTTCATCAGAGAGCCTGGGCAAATGGACTGAGGTACAATAATACTACATCCATACTATTATATAAAAATCTAATGGTGTCTGTCTGTGTCATAATATGTTCTTTTATATATATCATGTTAGTTTTATATCATTCGACCAGACTGTACTCTTGTTGTTGTACTTGGACTGTACTGAGTTTGAACTGTACCGTTAGACCTAGATTGAGTGCTCGGTCACTTTGAATAAACCCATGCCAACGTTAACATGCTTATCATTTTAACGAACCTCGACCTTCGATCCATATCACATGGCGCAGTCGGTAAAATTTAATTATGTGAGTCTTAAAAGTATGTTTGAATTTAATACAGTTATTTTTAATTATTGAGACAAGACGTTGAAGCTTTATAATCATGCCGAAAGCAGAAGAGGAGGAAAAAACGTCCATCGTCGTGCAAAGTTCGACTACACCTTCAATACGCCCACCATCAGAATTGACATGGTCAGGTAATATGTCAGAAAATTGGTCGTTTTTCAAACAAAAATTTAAAATTTACATGGTTGCTAGCAAAAGTGAAAAAGAGACTAGTGATTATCAAATCGCTCTTTTACTGTCAGTCATTGGTGATCGTGCTCTGAAAATCTACAACAATTTTCAGTATTCAACAGGAGAAGACAAGCACAAGTTAGAGATTGTAATATCTAAGTTTGATAATTATTTTATACCCACTAAAAACGTAACTTATGAACGTCATATTTTCTTTTTGCGTGAGCAAAACCTTGATGAAAATATAGACTCTTTTGTAACTGATCTTAGGGATTTGTCTAGCTCATGTGAATTTGGTCAGTTAACAGACAGTTTAATCAAAGACAAACTCATTTTGGGTATTAGAAATAGAACATTGAAAGACCGACTTTTGCAAACTAAAGACCTAGATTTAAATAAAGCTTTGGAAATATGTAGGGCTTCAGAAACTGCTAGCAAACAATTAGGAGATATTTGCTCAGACACTAGATCGGCAAGTATAGACGTGCACAAAATTGCAAGCAAGGATTGCAAGAAAGGGCAACATGTGACGTCACGATCAAACAGCTTCATACGCAATCGTAGCAGACCGACTTCAGCAGAACGGCTGCACTCGCAGACGACGCAGACTCATCTAAAAAAGGGCTTCATCAACAACAACAAACAGAAGTTTCAGTTTGTGTGTTCCCGTTGTGGTTACAATCATGCTTATGGTAAATGCCCTGCATTCGGTAAGAAATGTGCAAAGTGTGGTGTTTTGAATCATTTTGCTACTAAATGCAAAAATAAGAATGTAAATATGTGTAATGTTATTAATGATTCCAGTGAAGATGATGATAATTTGTTTGTAGGGGAGATACATGTTGTCTCAAACAAAAATAAATATGGTAAGTGCCAGTGGCATTCAGATTTGTTGATCAATGATAAAAATGTTAGTTTTAAGCTTGATTCAGGTGCTGATATTTCCATATTAAGTAAGAAAGTTTTTGATGATCTTAACCTAAATGTACAACTCGAGCCAACCAAAGCTAGGCTAACCTCTTACACAGGTCAAGGCTTAGACACTGTAGGTAAATGCTCCCTTGATGTTAAACACAAAGATGAAGTACATAGTGTAGAGTTTTTTGTTGTAAATAGTAAATCGCCTTGCATTTTGGGGTTGTCCGATTGTGTCAAACTGAACCTCATAAAAAGGGTTGACAATGTAAAAGGTAATAAAGGCTCAAATGAAGGTCCTGAGTCTTCTCATTGTATTCTTGATGAATACCCAGACTTGATGTCTGGTGTTGGATGTATAAAAGGTGAACATGAAATTCAGTTAAAGGAAGGTGCTCTTCCAGTTATTCATGCATGTAGAAAAGTTCCACTTGCATTAAAACCTAAATTAAAAAAGGAAACTAGACAATTTGGTCAAACATGAAATAATTGAGAAAGTAGTTAAGCCTACAGAATGGGTTCAATCGTTAGTCATAGTTGCTAAGAACAATGGAGATATGCGACTGTGCCTAGATCCGAAAGATCTTAACGCTGCAATAATGCGGCCTCATTTCCAAATTCCGTCTTTTGAAGAAATTTCCGCCAAAATGGCTGGAGCTAAGTTTTTTAGTACTCTTGACAGTAAAAATGGGTTCTGGCATGTGAAGTTAACCGCCAAGTCATCGGATCTATGCACATTCAATACCCCCTTTGGTCGTTACAAATTTCTGAGGTTGCCATACGGTATATGCTCTGCTAGTGAAGTGTTCCAGCAAAAAATGAGACAAATCTTTGATGAATTTGAAGGGGTCGAGGTTTACGTTGATGATATTATTTTGTGGGGTCGTACAAAAGCGGAACACGATGCGAGACTAAAGTTAGTGTTAGACAAAATGAGAGTTGAAAATATTAAGCTAAATAAGGAGAAATGTAAAATAGGCACAACAGAAATTAAGTATCTTGGGCATAAATTTACACAAAATGGCATTGACATTGATGAAAGTAAAATCAGAGCAATAACCTGTATGGAACCTCCAACAGACCGCAAGTCTTTGAAACGATTTTTAGGTCTTGTGACATATGTAAATAGGTACATACCAACCTATCAGAGCACACAACACCTCTACGTTCTATTTTAAAAAAAGATTGTATTTTTAGTTGGCAACATGAACAACAAAAGGCTTTTGAAAAACTTAAATCATTGTTAACAAACAGACCTGTTTTACAGTTCTTTGATGTAAACAAGCCTATTGTACTGACTGTGGATAGCTCTCAAAATGGTTTAGGTAGTGCACTGCTACAAGACAATCTGCCTGTAGCCTATGCCAGCAAAGCGTTAAATGAAACGCAGAGACGTTACTCCCAAATTGAAAAGGAACTCTTAGCCGTGGTGTTTGGCTGCGAACGTTTTCATCAGTACATATTTGGATCAACCATCACTGTGGAAACGGACCATAAACCACTGGTAGCAATTTTCAAGAAGAATCTTGATTCGTGTCCCCCCAGGCTACAGCGGATGTTAATAAAATTGCAGCAGTATGACATTAATTTAGTGTATAAACGTGGCAAAGAACTTTTCATAGCGGATACTTTGTCCCGTTCTTTTGATGGCTCCGATACTAGTGAACTCAACTTGGACACTGATGACATAGAAGCTCATGTTAATTATGTAACTCAAAACCTGAATGTTGATCCTATTAACATGTCTAAGTTAAAAGAGTATACTGCTAATGATAGTGAACTTGTTACATTGCTTAAGTTTGTTAAAGGTAATGTGTGGCCTAACCACAAAAGTAAGCTTCCAGAATCTGTGCGTAGTGATGTGGGCCGGGTAAATACCCAGTGGGTAGGTAAATATAAATTGGGTATTTACCCGGGTATTTACCCCAGGCCCGGGTAAATACCCAAAAACTGGGTATTTATAATTTGTATTAAAGTTAGAAAAGATTGAGATGTTTTTTTGCAATTATTACCCTGTAAGGATAGTAAAATGATAATAAAATGTGTTAAACGACATTTCATATGGTCACTACTAGCATTTTACTTATGGGTATTATCGCCATAAATACCCAGGTCTCAGCATAAAGCATAATCGGCATAAATACCCCTTGGTCGCATGGTTGCACTGGTCCTGACTACTTATGATTTTTTAATTTCTATGATAGAGAGATGAATTTATTTTATTGAAAGCAAAGAAAAATAATTTGTAAAGTAATAATTATTATTTAGAAAGACAGGAAAATTTAACCTAGTAGTGGCCTATGTGTTAACAACTTTTAAGAAGAAAATAATTAAAATTCAATCAGTAATTTCATAAACTTGTGATACAAAACATTTGAATCTGTAGCAGAATAAATCTTTCAAAATTATATTAAGTTAGGCCAAAAAACAGGAGATACATTTTTTTTCGTAGGTTTATCCAAATATATTATTGTTTCCAACCAAGCGGTAACACAGAAATGTTTAATTATAATTACTTTTAGTATTCTGCCTATGTCAATCAGGCCTTAGGAATTTGTAGTATTCTAAAATGTTATAGGCCTACGCAATAATGTATTGTTAATAAAACTATTTATGGCAAGTTCAACTGTTTTTATTGCATCATAAATAGGTACCCAACAATTCCTGGATATTTATAAATTAAAATAATTTTGTTTATGTTATTTTATTGGTTATAAATTTATAAAATGATAACAATTGAAATAGTCACAGCCTTTTTTAATATACTATCTTTTAGCAAGTTTTTTAAAATTTAACTAATGTTACTCGATTTAAGACACGAAACTAAATGCTTATTTAGAAACATAAAATGTAATAATTTAAAAAAAGTGCTGAATCATTAAATAAAAGGTACTAGCAAAGCTTAAAGTTACTGTAAAAGGTGTTATAGACTATCCTAATTTATCATGTAATAATAACAATAACATATTTAGGGGTAAATATAAATGAATTTCAATCGATTTCATAAATACCCAAAATACCCGGGTATTTATGGATTTTGGGTATTTACCCGGGTAAATACCCAGGGTATTTACCCCGAGTTTTAAATACCCGGGTATTTTACATCACTATCTGTGCGACAATATTGGTCTGTTAAAGATGACTTAACCTATTGTAATGGTTTGTTGTTTAAGGGACCGTGCATAGTGATTCCGAGGGGAATCAGAAATGAAATGCTCAAAAGGTTACATTATCCACATCTAGGGGTAACCAAAACTCAGCTCAGGGCAAAAAATGTAATGTATTGGCCGCAAATGAACTCCCAAATCTCAGATGTTATATCAAAGTGTGAAACATGTATTTTGAATGCAAACAGCAATGTAAAGGAACCTCTGATGCCACACAAGGTACCAAAGCTACCTTGGGACAAGGTAGGCATTGATATTTTCTTTTTTGAAGATAAAAAGTTTTTACTAGTTGTCGATTATCTTTCTAAATATGTTGAAGTTGTGATCTTGCAAAATATGACTAGTGTTTATGTTGTAAATAGTTTGAAATCTGTATTTAGCAGACATGGTATTCCTAGAGTTGTGATTTCTGGTTTTGATACTAGTTTTAACAGTAGTGAGTTTGAAAATTTCTCAAAGTGTTGGGAATTCAAACATGTACGCACAAGTCCTCATTATTCGCAATCAAATGGTATGGTAGAAAGAGCTGTTCAAAGTGTTAAAAATCTGATCAAAAAGTCTGTGCTAGAAAAAACTGATTTGTATTTGGCTCTCTTAGAATTAAGAAACACGCCAATCAGTTGTAATCTGCCTTCTCCAGCAGAAATTCTTTTCAGTAGGAAACTTAATGGTATTTTGCCATGTCAAGACAAAATGCTTAGGCCTAGAGTACAGAAAAATGTTAGAAAAAACTTAATTTTAAGACAAGACTCTCAAAAAAGGTATTATGATAGAGGTTCAAAGCCCTTAAGGCCTTTGCAGGTAAATGAACATGCCTTGATGAAATACAAAAACAAATGGGTAAAAGGTCAAATTGTTGGAAAGAGAGATGA